TTACCTAGTTCTGACTGAAGGGATATAATATGCCACACTGTAAACTCCCTGAAAATAGAGACTCTGTAGTGGGTAATGGTCACTGCCAAGTGCCCAAAAGAGTTTTAAACTTTTATGAGCACAATAAATATGCATGTATAAGACTCTGAACACAACTGGACAAGAGTATGGCTATCATTGGAATACTGTACTTCATGCTTGGCTTTCCAAGAAGCAAGTGACAAAGAGATGCCTGCTCTATCTTCCCCCTGTATCTAAAAAGTAGTTACCAAGAGATGTATTACCTCATCGTTCTCAGATAAATATAAGTCAAATCCTAGGGCTTGCTTCTTTGACCTTTCTGCTGTGCTCCTTGCAGAAGAAATAGGCAGGGTGTATTGTCTGAGTTGCCACTGCTACTGACAGGTGAAGCAGCTGGACTTCCTGGATCACTGGGGACTTGGAGAACTTTTCTGTCTTACAAAGGGATTGTAAAATACACCAATCAGTACTCTGTAGCTAGCAAGAGATTTGTAAAATGTGCTAATCAGCACTCTGTAAAAACACATTAATCAGTGCTCTGTAGCTAGCAAGAGGTTTGTAAAATGTATCATTCAGTGCTCTGCAAAATGGACCAATCAGCACTCTGTAAAATGGACCAATCAGCGCTTTGTAAAATGGACCAGTCAGCAGGAATCTAAGAGTAGCCAATCGCAAGGAGGATTGAAAAAAGAGCATTCTGATAGGACAGAAACAGGACATGGGAGGGGACAAATAAGAGAATAAAAGCTGGCCACCCCAGCCAGCAGTGGCAACCCGCTTGGGTCCCCTTCCACTCTGTGGAAGCTTTGTTCTTTTGGTCTTCACAATAAATGTTGCTGTTGCTCACTCTTTGGGTTCATGCCACCTTTAAGAGCTGTAACACTGTGCAGGTCCGCGGCTTCATTTTTGAAGTCAGCGAGACCATGAACCCACTGGAAGGAACCAGCTCCAGACACATCTTGGGGGCTCATCTGGGATATCGCCATGTGGTGAGTACCCTCGGACCCCTTTCACTTGCTATTCTGTCCTGTTTTTCCTTAGAGTAAGGAGGCTAAACACCAGACACCCGTCAGCCAGTTAAAAATGACTAGTGCGGCCATGGGACTAAAGACACAAGTGTCAGGCTTTCTGGGAAAGGACTCTTTAACAACTTCTTACTCTTCAGAGTTGGGAGCATTGGTTTGCCTGGAACCAGCTTCTGCTTTTCGTGTACTTCCGAACTGAGCTGAGGGTCAACAGAGAGGAAAGCTATTCAGCTCTGGGGTCCCGACAAAAAGTTGGTTGACCCTGCAGTCATGAGCAGAGCTCTCAAAGTTATGTTGCCCAAGTGAGACTCGCCCATCTATCCTATCTATCCTGATCCTTGCCTCCTGGGTCCTAACACCTGTCTGACAAACTTCCTTCTGCCTCTCTCCTCCGAGGCTAGTCCTGCTTCTAAAACCACTTGCTGTCTCTGGTGCTATTCTAGTTTATCTTGTAAGAATGATTTCTAGCATAAATTTCTGGACTCTGTTCCCTTCTTTAGGCACCTTGTCTGACCAATTAGAAAGACATAATTTTTGCCCAAAGTTCTGTTGCAGGGGACTATCTGGAATTTTAGGATCCCTTCTCAGACTAGCAGGCCTAATGAAGGCTATTCCTGAAGCTAGGATATGGGAAGCCTCAGAAGTTATATCCTTCCTATTCGTGTGGTGAGAAGTGTGGACAAAAGGCATCACTTCTCCAACCCTGGAGATCCCTTCCCTCCCTCGGGGTATGGCCCTCTGCTCCATTTTGAGGCATATCATCTTTATAGGACAAGGGTAAGGTCCCAATACTAACAGGGGAAAATGCTTAGGATTCTAAAAGTTTTTGAAGAATGCATCAGTAAGGGCCACTAAATCTGATTTTTCTTGGTCCTCTTTGTGGTCTAAGAGGAAAGCAAGGGTGCAGGTTTTCAAGAATGCATCGGTAAAGGCCACTAAATCCGACCTTCCTCAGTCCTCTTTGTGGGCTAGGAGGAAAAGTAGTGTTTCTGTTGCTGCTTCCGTGAGCACGACTATTCCAATCAGCAGGGTCCAGGGACCATAGTGGGTTCTTGAGCAGGGGGAGAAAACAAACCAAAACTGCGGGCAGCTTTTTCTCTCAGATTGGAAACACTCAGGCATCAACAGGCTTACTCTTGAAATGCATCCTAAGACATTGGGACCATCTGGCCCACAAACCTTGAAAAAGAAGCGGCTCATTTTTTTTCTGCACCACGGCCTGGCCCCAATATTCTCTCTCTGATGGGGAAAAATGGCGACCTGAGGGAAGTATAAATTACAATACTATCCTGAAGCTTGACCTTTTCTGTAAGAGGGAAGGCAAATGGAGTGAAATACCTTATGTCCAAGCCTTCTTTTCATTGAAAGATAATCCACAACTATGCAAAGTTTGCAATCTACATCCTAGCTTACCTCCATATCCTGGCCTTCCTACAGCTCCCCTTCCTATTAATGATAAGCCTCCTTTAATCTCCCCCACCCAGAAGGAAAAAATCAAAGAACTCTCCAACGGACCACTAAAATCCCCGGGCTATCAGTTATGTCCCCTTCAAGCTGTAGAAGGAGGGGAATTTGGCCCAACTCGGGTACATGTCCCCTTCTCTCTCTCTGATTTAAAGCAGACCAAGGTAGACCTGCAGAAATTTTCAGATGATCCTGATAGGTATATAGATGCCCTACAGGGTCTAGGGCAAACCTTCAATTTCACTTGGAGAGCTGTCATGCTATTGTTAGATCAAACCCTGGCCTTTAATGAAAAGAATGCAACTGTAGCTGCAGCCCGAGAGTTTGGAGATACCTGGTATCTTAGTCAAGTAAATGATAGAATGACAGCCGAAGGAAGGGACAAATTCCCTACCAGTCAGCAAGCCTTCCCCAATATGGATCCCCACTGGGACCTCGACTCAGGTCATGGGGACTGGAGTTGCAAACGTTATGTTGACCTGTGTTTTAGAAGGACTAAAGAGAATTAGGAAAAACCCATGAATGATTCAATGATGTCCACTATAACTTAGGGAAAGGAAGAAAATCCTTCCTCTTTCCTCGAGTGGCTATGGGAGGCCTTAAGAACATATACTCCCCTGTCACCCAACTCACTTGAGGGTCAATTCATCCTTAAAGATAAGTTTATTACCCAATCAGCCACAGATATCAGAAGAGAGCTTTAAAAGTGAGCCCTGTGCCCTGAACAAAATCTGGAGGCATTATTAAACCTGGCAACCTCGGTGTTCTATAATAGGGACCAAGAGGAACAGGGCCAAAAGGAAAAGCGAGATCAGAGAAAGGCTGCAGGCTTAGTCATGGCCCTCAGGCAAACAGATCTTGGTGGTTCAGAGAGGACAGAAAATGGAGCAGGCCACTTCCCTGGTAGGGCTTGCTATCAGTGTGGTTTGCAAAGACACCTTAAAAAAGATTGTCCAACAAGAAACAAGCTGCCCCCTTGCCCATGTCCACTATGCCAAGGCAATCACTGGAAGGCGCACTGCCCCAGAGGACAAAGGTTCTCTGGGCCAGAAGCCCCCAACCAGATGATCTAACAACAGGACTGAGGGTGCCTAGGGCAAGCACCAGCTCAGGAAATTGACTTCCTCCTGGACACTGGTGTGACCTTCTCAGTGTTAATCTCCTGCCCTGGACAGCTGTCCTCAAGGTCCGTTACCATACGAGAAATCCTGGGACAGCCTGTAACCAGGTATTTCTCCCACCTCCTCAGTTGTAATTGGGAGACTTTGCTCTTTTCACATGCCTTTCTTGTTACACCTGAAAGTTCAACACCCTTATTAGGGAGGGACATATTAGCCAAAGCTGGAGCTATTATCTATATGAATATGGGGAACAAGTTACCCATTTATTGTCCCCTACTTGAGGAGGGAATCACTACTATCAAGCTATTCATCAAATAGCCAGTGGTTTTAAGAGTTTTGCTGACTATCTGTTTGGCTTCTCACAGGTGATTCTCAATACAGGCTTGTATGTGTTCCAGGGCAGGGCCATAGAAATGGAAAATATATGGTCTTCCCCACTCCTTTCCAAGGTAATTCGTAGAAAAATACAAGATGATGCCTGTCTATTAGAAGACTGATGTTGGAAAGTAAGAAACAGGATCAAACTTAATGATACATCTTGATCTCCCTGTATGACGTGGACTGGTAGAATTGAAAGAACATGGAGCTGCAGTTAGGAAACCCAGGACGTTGTTTTAACTCTGCCCCACTCACTCTAGACCTTGAGCATGGCACTTACCTTTCATAGGCTTCGATTTCCTCTCATACAGAGGAGCTGGAAGACTGTTCCTTTACAGAAATGTCTGAGAAAATGAGTCCAAGGAAAGTATCCTGGATACCAGTACAAGAAAACCAAAATGTCACCAAAGAGATAGAAGAAAGGTCCTGTAATAGGTCTTTGAGAGATACATTGGAGAGATTTTCTTACATCTTTATGAAGTCTTTATAAATTCCCATTCTCCCTTCCTTCCCTCCCTACCTCCCTCCTCTCTCTCTCTCTCTCTCTGATCTTCATGAAAAGGAAGGTTAAAAAGAGGCAAGAAGATTAAGCCTGCTTTTTGGCACAATGAAAACAAGGAGAGATAATTGGTTGTTGGAGTGTTTTTGTTTTTCTTCTCTTCAATGAGCTAAGTGCAGTGACCTGGAAACCCTAGCAATCTACTGGGAGAAGAGTGGAGGCTGCATTTTCTAGGTGTAGCAGTAGACAGTGATTTTTTTTCAGGCTGCTGCTTAGTTTGATACCCAGTGACTTTACATCAGACATCTGTAGGTTTTTGATCCATATGGGGCATTTTTCTTCCTTCAGCTGGGCTAAATAATAACTTTACATTTTTAGAGTGCCAGCAGTGGGCACTAATGTGGTGAGTTTGTAGCTCTGTGAAACGGTCCACATTTTTCATTTTTCTTTCATTACCTTCAAAACATGTTTTTTTTTTTTTTTTTTTTTTAGGAGGGAGGCAGAGTGAGATGGCTGAATAGAAGCCTCCACTGACTGTCCCTGCAACAGGAACACCAAACATAACAACAATCCACACAAAAAAGCACCTTCATAAGAACAGAAAATCAGGTGAGTGATCACAGTACCTGGTTTTAACTTCATATTGCTGAAAGAGGCATTGAAGAGGGTAGGAAAGACAGCCTTGAACTGCTGATACCACCTCACTCCCATCCTTCTGGCAACAGCCGCATGGCATGAAGAGAGAATCTGTATGCTTGTGGGAGGGACAGTGCAGTGACTGAGGGGCTTTACATTGAAACTCAGTGCTGTGCTGTCACAGTGGAAAGCAACACCAGGCTGAACTCGGCTGATGTCCACGGAGGGAGCATAGACAGGCCCTAGCCAAAGAGGAATTACCCATCTCAGCAATCAGAACTTGAGTTTTGACAAGCCTTGCCACTGCTGGGTAAAGGGCTCTGGGGTCCTAAAATAAACTTGAAAGGCTGTCTAGGCCACAAGGACTGCAACTGCTGGGCAAGTCCTAGCCGTGTGCTGCGCTCAGAGCCAGTGGATTTGGGGGATAAGCAACCTAGTGAGACACAAGACAGGGCAGCCAAGGGAGTGCTTTACCACACCTCCCCCAGCCTCAGGTAGCACAGCTTGCTCCTCCAAAAGAGACTCCTTCCTTCCACTTGGTGAGGTGAGGAGAGGAGAGGAGAGGAGAGGAGAGGAGAGGAGAGGAGAGGGAAGAGTAAAGAGGACTTTGTCTTGTAACTTGGATATCATCTCAGCCACAACAGGATAGGGCATTGGACAGAGTTGTGAGGCCTCCATTCCAGGCCCTAGCTCTCAGATGATATTGCTAGATATACCCTACACCAGAAGGGAAACTGCTGCCTTGAAAGAAGAAAGGACCCAGTCCTGGGCAGGATTCGTCACCTGCTGACTAAAGAGCCCTTGGGCCCTGAATAATCAGCAGTGGTAGCCCAGTAATACATGCTATGGGCCTTGGGTGAGACTCTGAGATGTGCTGGCTTCCGGCGTGACCCAGCACATTTCCAGCTGTGGTGGCTATGAGGAGAGACTCCTTCTGCTTGAGAAAAGCAGAGGGAAGAGTAAAGGGGACTTTGTCCTACAGCCTAGGTGCCAGCTCAGCCACAGTGGGGTAGAGCACCAAATGGGCTTTGGGGGTCCCTGCTTCTAGGTCTTGGCTCTTGGGCAGCATTTCTGGACCTGCCCTAGGTCAGAGGGGAGCCCACTGCCCTGAAGGGTGAGCATCAGGCCTGGCAGCATTCACCAAAAGCTGACTGAAGAGCTGTTGGGCCTTAAGTGGACATTGGTGGTAGGCTGGCAGTACTCTCTGTGGGTCTGTAATGGTGACAGCCATGGATAGAGACTCCACTGCCCATGGAAAGGGGAGGGAAAGTGGGAAGGACTTTGTCTTACGGTTTGTGTGCCAACTCAGCCAGTAGAGTAGAGCACCAGGTAGATTTCTAAGGTTTCCAATTCCAGACCCTGGCTACCAGACTGCGTCTCTGGACCCATCAAGGGCCTGGAAGAACTCACTGCCCTTAAAGGAAGAACACAAGCCTAGTTGGCTTTCCCACGTGCTGATTGTCGAGGGCCTTAAACAAACATAGGTAGTAGCCAGGCAGTAGTTACTGGGCAAGATTCAGTGCTGTGTCTGACCCAGTGTAGTTTCAGTGTTGGTAGCCACAAGGGTGCTTGTGTCACTCCTCCCCTAGCTCCAGGCAGCACAGCACAGAGAGAGAGACTCCATTTGTCTGGGAGGAAGTAAGGGAAGAGAACAAGGTCTCTGCCTGGTAATCCACAGAACACTTCTGGATCTTATCTAAGACCACCAAGGTGGTATCTCTATGAGTCTGAGCGCTACTGGGCTTGGGGTGTTCCATAAAGCAGATACAGCTGTAATGACTAAAAATTTAGTTTATAATACCCAATTTCCTTTGAATACCTGGAAAGCCTTCCCAATAAGGGTAGGTACAAACAAGCCCAAACTGTGAAGACTACAATAAATAACTCTTCAATGCCCAGACAGTAAAAAACATCCACAGGCATCAAGGCCATCTAGGAAAACATGACCTCACCAAACAAACTAAATAAAAGACTAAGGACTAATTCCAAGGAGACAGAAATATGTGACCTTTCAGACAGAGAAGTCAAAATAGCTGTTTTGAAGAAACTCAAAGAAATTTGAGATAACATAGAGAAGGAATTCAGAATCCTATCAGATAAATTTAACAAAGAGATGGAAATAGTTAAAAAGAATCAAGCAGAAATTCTGGAGTTGAAAATGCAATTGACATACTGAAGAATGCATCAGGGTATCTTAATAGCAGAAGTGATCAAACAGAAGAAAGAACTAGTGAGCTTGAAGAGAGAGTATTTGAAAATACACAGGCAGAGGAGATGAAAAGTAAGAATAAAAGAGAATGGACTTCATCTGAAGTCAGGAGTTCGAGATCAGCCTGGCCAACATGGTGAAATCCTGTCTCTACTAAAAATACAAAAATTAGCTGGGTGTGGTGGCTCACCCTTGTAGTCCCAGCTACTTGAGAGGCTGAGGCAGGAGAATGACTTGAACCCAGGAGGCGGAGATTGCAATGAGTTGAGATCCCACCACTGCACTCCAGCCTGGGTGACAGAGTGAGACTCTGTCTCAAAAAAGAAAGAAAGAAAAAAAAGAATAGAGCATGCCTATAAAATCTAGAAAATAGCCTCAAAAGGGCAAATCTAAGAGTTATTGGCCTTAAAGAGGAGGTAGAGAAAGAGATAGGGTATTAAGTTTATTCAAAGCAATGATAACAAAGAGTTTTCCAAACCTAGAGAGAGATATCAATATTCAACTATAAGAAGGTTAAAGAACACCAAGCAGATTTGAACTAAGGAAGGCTACCTCAAGGCATTTAATAATCAGACTCCCAAATATCAAGGGTAAAGAAAGGATCCTAAAATCAGCAAGATAAAAGAAACAAATAACATACAATTGTGCTCCAATATGTTTGGCAGCAGACTTTTCAGTGGAAACCTTATAGGCCAGGATAGAGTGGCATGACATATTTAAAGTGCTCAGGGGAAAAACTTTTACCCTAGAATAGTATGTCCAGTGAAAATATCCTTCAAACATAAAGGAGAAATTAAGACTTTCTCAGGCAAACAAAAGCTGAGGGATTTCATCAACACCAGGTCTGTCCTTTAAGAAATGCTAAATGGAGTTCTTTAATCTGAAAAGGATTTTAAAAAGATGTTATTTAACAATAAGAAGTCATCTGAAGGTACAAACCTTACTGGTAATAGTAAGTATACAGAGAAACACAGAATAGTATTACACTGTAATTGTGGTGTATAAACTATTCATATCTAAGTAGAAAGATGAAAAGATGAACTGATCAAAAAATAACTACAACAACTTTTCAAGACATAGTACAATAAGATAGAAAAAAAAGTTTTAAACTAGGGGGAATGAAGTTAAAATGTAGAGTTTATATTACGTTTTTCATTTGCTTGTTAGTTTGTTTATGCAATCAGTGTTAAGTTGTCCTCAGTTTAAAATAATGGATTATAAGATATTATTTGCAAGCTTCGTGGTAACCTCAAATCAAAAAACATGCAATGGATACACAAAAAATTAAAACATAACTGCCAGAGAAAATCACCTTCACTAAAAGGAAGACAGGAAGGAAGGAAAGAAGGAAGAGAAGACCACAAAACAACCAGAAAACAACAACATGATAGAAGTAAGTTATCTGAAGGTACAAACCTTACTGGTAATAGTAAGTACACAGAGAAACACAGAGTATTATTATACTGTAATTGTGGTATATGAACCACATATCTAAGTAGAGAGATGAAAAGATGAACTGATCAAATAGAACAACAACTTTTCAAGACACAGTACGATACTTATCAATAATAACATTGAATGTAAATGGACTAAACTCTCCAGTCAAAAAACATACAGTGGCTGAATGGATAAAAAACAAACAAACAAACAAAAAACGAGACTCAGCAATCTGTTGCCTACAAGAAACACACTTCATGTATAAAGGCACACATAGACTGAAAATAAAGGGATAGAAAAAGATATTCTGTGTAATCAGAAACCAAAAAAGAGCAGAAGTACCTACACTTATATCAGATAAGATGGATTCCAAGATAAAAACTATAAAAAGTGACAAGATCATTATATGGTAATAAAGGGGTGAATTCAGCAAGAGGATCTAATAATTGTAAATACATATGCAGCCAACACTGGAGGACCCAGATGTATATGAGCACATATCTATCTATCTATGAGTCTGAGTGAATAAAGGAAATATTATGAGAGGTAAAGAGAGAGACAGACCCCAGTACAACAATAGCTAGAGACTTCAACACCCCACTTTCAGCATTGGACAGATCCAGACAGAAAATCAACAAAGAAACATTGTACTTAGTTTGTACTATAGAACAAATAGACCTAATAGATATTTACGGACCATTTTATCCAATGGCTGGGGAATATGTATTCTTCTCAGCACATGGATCATTCTCAGGGATAGACCACATGTTAGCTCACAAAACAAGTCTTAAAACATTAAAAAAAATTGAAATCATATCAGGTATCATCTCTGAACACAATGAAATAAAACTAGAAATCAATACAAGAGGAACTTTGAAACTATACAAAACCTTTGTTTATATCTCCATTGTAACTTACTGCATTCTGCCTTGTATCTTTATATTTATCTTTTAATCATCTAGAACATAATAAGCTCCTTGAAGACAGAGACTGTGTTTTTGGCCTCTTGATAATTGCGAAGGATGCCGAGTACAATGCTTGGCACAGGGCAGATGCTCTTTGAACTGAACTCAATTGGATTGAATTATCTTGGGTTGTCTAGCAATTAAGGCACTAGTTTAAATGAAATAAATGCTTTTCTGTAATATATTAAACTTGCTCACACCAGATATTGGGTAGGGCTGCCAGACCCAGAGGCTGAAAATACAAAGACAGTATGGGATCTATGACTGAGTATAGAAGTATCATTCTTGTGGGATTAGCACCCAGAGGCTAAATAATTTTTAACTTGGCGACAGGGTAGAAGTGGTCACTTCTACAACCTATA